CAGATCTTTCGTGTAGGATTTCCTCCCCTCTCAGAAACAAAGACTGACAGGATATGTGGACAGCGGAAGATGGGAGCATCTCGCCTTTATCAACAGGCAAGCAAGCCTCTTCGATACTTTGTCTTGAGGATCAGCCCGGCTAATGTTATTGACAAAGATAGACAGAGTGACATTGCCTTTTTCTCTTGCCACTTCACACTTTCTTGGGGGATAACCACCGCCATATACATATCTCTTTCGATGCCTTGAATTCCTGTGTATGGGACTGGGATTGTTTCGTGTGAAGCAGACGACGAGCTGAGAGGACAAGGGAGAGCAATTCCGGCGAATGCTGTATTTGAAGCCTGCACGGTTAAACGAAGTGGAAAGGGGATGGATCTGCTCAGTGTATATACTAAATTGTCCTGATTGAATAAGTATTATGGTTGGCCCTATTCCTTACTATATCCCAGCTCTATTCAACAAGTGGTAGTGTAGGCCGGTGACATACCTAGTATTCCCCGCTGAGGTAGAAGCACATCAAGGATGTACATGACTGCCGAGAAAATGAACCCTCGTAATTCAAATATCCAAGACTACGATATGCACCTGCTGGAGTATATGTTTCTGTGGCACCCAGGCTTACAATAGGCAGGAAACTATAACGCTGCGGGCTTTTCTCACCTTGCGCTGCGCCCTACAGTTTCACTATTGGGCTTGACCAGCCTCTCCCTCGCACTCTTGATAGTTTTGCCGTATTTAAAGGTCATAGAACGGAATACAAGGAATCCGTTAAACATTTGGCAAAAATGACCGATTCTGGAACTCTAGCTGTGCGATATTTGCCCCAGCGATGCCACTACGGGAGCCCTAATCGAGCCAGTAAACCCCCTTAAACCCGGTCGTTTGAAATGATGCTGATGGTAATAGATCTCCCTACTAAATTTCCCCACGACCATATCGCGTCGCCTAGAGGCGCATATGTCTTGTTCGCGCTCGGCTAGCCCTAACCGAGAAGACTTATCGGCGAGCTGGAGGGAACAAACTACCAAATGCAAAAGACATTTCCACCCAGCATATCTGCCATAGGTGCCATCATCCAAGGAAGGACCAGCGTTTCGGCTCCCATATTATATGCATGATGAGTCTTTACGACGGAACGCACAGGTACCTCCCAGCAAGTGGCACCATTATTTGGTTGCAACCTGCACCGTGACGTTCGTCAATGATATCCCGATTGAATTGGTGCACGTCCTTGGGAAATTGCGAAAACACTACCAAAGTGAAGTGGATCGAGACAGCAAGGAACCCAACGTTAGCGCTGGTGGGTATCTGAGCTGTTGCGTTGGGAGGCAAATTAGGTCACGGTGCAGGTTTGGTATCACCCCATAGTAAGAGAGTAGTGGGCAATACGTTCATGTCCCTATGAATCCTGAATCCACTGAGAGATATTGCTTTGCATTCAGGGACCAAGGACACTAACGGACAACTACATTATTTAATTGAGTGTTTGTCGGGTATACGTATGTGGAGATGCCAAGTGGACCTCCCAGCAGGTTTTTTTTTTTTTTTTCTTTTTTTTTTCTATTATAGAAGACAGTTGAGATACTGCGAGCCCTTACGGTCAGGTCATATGAATGAAGTAATATTCAATGTTGTACACTGGTCGCTGATGAAGGGTCATAGTATTTGCAGAACAAAATCATGATCTACAACGAATAAACAAGCTCATGATTCTCCCAGTCAGTCAGATCCAACCATCTAGACCCCGTTATTAGCGACCTATACTTGATGATAAAGACAAGATAGGGACGACACTCACTCTTGATTCTCCAGTCGGACATATTCTGGGCTCTCCCTGATCTGGGCCTTCTTGGCATTTTGTTTGTTATACCACCACCAGATGAAGGCCAAAATAAACAAACAGACGCCCCAGCAGACAATGATCGTAATCTCGGCGGGAACATAGCGAGGGGCATCTTTGGGGCGGAAGACTTGGGGACCTATGCAGAAGTTGCAGTTAATCTCTGCTCGTATTTAGGTCCGAACGATACGGACATACCAATGATATTTCCGGCACAGTAGCCGATTAAATATAGTGCAGCGACGGTGGTCTTCTTCGTATAGCCGGCGACGTTGGAGGAGACCATCGAGAGCAAGGCCACGAATGGGGTCGGGCTTGCTTGGGTCATGTAGTAACCGATCAGACGTCCGACGTTGTTTGATAGGGGAAGACCAACGATGAGGGCCATGCCCACTATGGCAGTAAATAGGCCACCGGTGCTGCAAAGGAGTCGCTGGCCCGTGTATTGGCCGGCGTAGCCGTTGAGAATTAGAGCGATAACCTCAACCGCACCGCCGGGAGTACCATATAGGAGACTCTGTTGGGGAGTGTAACCAAAGCTGGTAATCTGGCGGTAATTTAATTAGTCATAGAGTCTCAGTCCAGAATGGAAGGGGTCACTCACCAGCTGGTTGAAGAAGTTTGTAATACCACCATTTGGGATATCGGCGATGAGCGCATAGAAGAAAAAAGCCCAAGTCATGGGGTCTAGGAGTGCCTCCTTGACCTGGTAGAGCTTGAAGTGCTTGTTTCCGATACCCTGCTGGTTTTCTCTGACGCGAGCGACGGCGAGAACACGATCCTCTTGTTTTAGCCAGCGGGCGTTCAGTTGACTATCCGGGACTACCCAGAAGAAAATAACACCAAGCGCAACGGTTAATAGACCCGTGCAAAGGAAGACAATTTTCCAAGGCGCGATGGCTGAGCCATGCCTTTCTGTGCCAACTGCGATACCGTACGCCACAAAGCCACCTAGAATCTGGCCCCAGCCATTGAAGCTGAACCAGATGTTGACACGGCTGCCTTGTTCACTCTTGGTGTACCACTATGCGAGAGATGTCAGAAATTGTTGTTGTTGTTTGGAGGGGCCTGAAACGCACCTGCGAGGTCAAAAGAGCAAAGCCTGGTGTAACAGAGGCTTCGAAGACACCAAGGAAGAAACTAAACAGGGGTTGTCAGCCGTTGTTGATGATTGTGGCAGGGTGTGGTCTCACCGAATCGCAACGGCCCCGGGATAGTTGCTAACAGCAGCGAAACAACAAAGAATCGATCCCCAAATGATGATGCAAGCCGCAGAGTATTTACCCAAGGGGAGGCGCTGAAGCAATCGGTTGGTGGGGTATTCCCACGCCAGATATCCTACATTTCAAGCCGTGTCAGTCTACCTCTTCGTATGTTTCCACTATGGGGCCATTGTTTAACGAACCGAAATAAAATAAGCTACCCAGCCATTGATATTCGTCGCCTTTCAGGTTCAGATCTGGCTTGAGCCCCATGACACTGGCGTAGGATAGGGTCGTTTCTGTGCAGGGTTAAGTAAGAAATGTCGAGGTTAGAGTCGAAGAACCACGTACTGTCCAAATAGTTCATTCCATATACACAACACATGATCGGCATCATATGCCAGTCAATGGTTCGTAAAAGTCGCTTGTTTGTTGCGGCATCGAGCTCGACGGCTTCGCCATGGAGTTCCTGAAAGGCTTTCAATGCCTCGTCTGCATCCTGAGCATGTTCTTTAAGCTTTGGATCGACGTGCCCCTTGACGTCTTTCTCCACGTCGACAATGGTGGGTGGGGAAGTCTTCTCTTCTGCCATTTTTTTTTCTGGCTAATACTTTGGTGGGGGAAGGTATAAGAGGTAGGACGAGACAACAGAGGGCATTTCAAGGAATGGTGACATGCCTTACATATATATGTACGCGCACCTCCTCATCCACGGGGGGTCGTAGCACCAGAGAATGAAACGATTGTTATCTGACCTGGCAGATTAAACTTCATCGGCACCCAGATAAGCCACCGATTATCTGGGGTAGGCCGAACTACCCCATCCTAGTGCAGCCACAATGACGGCAAGTTAATTGTCCATGGCCAATCCCACGCAAGCACAGCGGTTTCGGTTCCGCGGGAATTCCGAACGTTGGAGCATCAGAGATGAGGGGCAAAAGAGGAGAAGGCAAAAAGCAAAAGGATAGGCGAGGCAATGGTTGATCCATTGGGTAAAATAGCCGACTATCTCTATTGAATCACGAGAAAGACTCGTTGAATGGGTGGGATGATAAGACAACAACCACCCCAATGTGTCCCCTCACTTATCTGGCGGACAATTCCGCTCCAGGGCTACCAAGAGAGCTTACTCTTTCCAGTCTCACTGGCTTGTCGATCTGCATCTGCCAAGAGGAGGAGAAAACGTTACAGAGATTAGGGTTGAGGAAATCGTCAATACTACCTCGTACTTTGTCCACGAGGCCAAGTCCGTCGGCGTTCCATTTGAAAGCCGGCAAACATTGGGAGATTCCGAACCTGGCATAATAACTAACTAGTCATATTTACTAGAGAGCCTAGTTAACTAAGAACTATTGTGGTTTCTTCTTTTCTCCCCGAAATTTAATTGTACTACCTGCAACGTTTTAAGCTTATCAGCTAGACCACTAGTAGGATATTCATATCGCCATATCAGTATCTCCTTATCATCCTGATCTCCACTTACTAACGTGATGATAGTGGACCTTTCCCGAGTTATGCCTTTCCCCGTTTAGCAGCTTATCGATAATAGACCACCGAGACCAGTGCTATGAGTACTTGCGAACACCGCTAACAAACCGACAGGGTTGACGCTTATACTGTTTACATCGGATGTATATATACCTCTATTAAAGAAACCCAACATTTTCAATCTGTCAGCAAAGACTGAAACTAAAAGATGTTCGGGGAGGATATTGTTGGAAAAGTCCTCGGGACGGTTCCCGCGGAGCCCGGAGCTTTATCCATACTACTGAAAAAAGCTTCGCTGCCTGGCATCGATTGATTCGATTCTCATTTCCCCGACGTTGCTATAGTCTACTATGGCAATTGACTGTGCCCTGTCTTAGAGTGCAAGAGCCTCCAAAGCCACATATGGTAATGCCTGCCAACACAGGAACAAATAAAATCAACGGGTGAACATCCTCACGGCAGCCAATATGTCCGCCGAGCCACTCAGTATACTACTGGTAAATAAATTTCTACCCGCTTAGACAGACAGCAATAATAACTTGGGGAACTAGGCAAGCACAGCCGCATCCCTTTCACTAGATCTATTCATCCACCCCTTGGATACGATCAAAACCCGCATCCAGTCTCGCGAATATTCACAGTTCCTGAGAACCAACACCGGAACCAGCATATGGAGACACCCTGGGATATTCCGCGGCCTTTACCAAGGCATCGCGAGCGTAACCGCTGCCTCGTTTCCCACAGGTTCGTGCTACTCTACATCATCCCTACCCAAACTCTATCCAATGAGCGAAAACTAACGGGTCAAAGCTGGTGCATTCTTCATCACATACGAGTACGCACAGTCAGGACTCCAACTCATACATCGAAAGCTTGGAACGCATGAGTCTAGCTCAGCTCAGGTCTTTTCCGATTTTTGCGCAGCCTCAGTTGCCGATCTTGCTGCTTGTGCAGTCTTTGCTCCGGCTGATGCATTGAAACACAACGCACAGATGATCCAGTCACAACAACCAGATGCATCATCACATGTAGCTGGGGGGGAAACAGGTGGGGTAGCCCAGAAAGCAACACAACTGGCTTTCAAGAAGTTTATCAACCCTAGACAGCTTTGGAACGGATACCCTGCTCTTGTAGCGCATAGCTTGCCAGTGTCGGCGATTCAGATGCCGCTGTACGAGGCTCTTCGGTGTCGCATTTCTGAATATAGATTCGGAGTTCGAGAGGAGGGGTCAGGAAGACTAAGAGACTATGGAAAGAAACAGGTCCATTTGACAATTGGAGAGGCCGCTTCGACAGCCGCGATAAGTGCTGCAGTGTCAGGCAGTGTAGCCAGCGTCCTGACAGCACCCATGGATATGGTCCGAACACGAATCATGCTCGATGCTGCAGACACAACCGCGCCGCAGAAGAAAAGAATGATCAATGCCGTACGGGAGATTATACGAACCGATGGCCCAAGGGGCCTATTCCGAGGGTGCGCTGTAAACACATTCATGGCAGCTGTCGGATCAGGATTGTACTTTGGTCTCTATGAAAGCACCAAATGGTGGCTAAGCTCTGACTCGATGGAAAAGCGTGTCATGTTGGACTAGGAGGTGATGGGAAAGCTTCTATGTAATTGTGATTGTTTGTACGATAGTGGCCGACTGTACATTAGTGATACCCCGCTCTAAAAAAATAAACTACTCTTCAGTAGCACCTCCAAGGTAAATCGAGTCTGTGCCTATTGCCTTCGAACCAGCCTAGGAACTTTGGGAGACTACAAAATATTCGACCAGAGCGGATCCACTACTTAGTCCTTGTTTAAGCTGACTACAACATATACCGTAAGTGTTGGTTCAGAAAATGATTACGTAGAATAACCTTTAGACACCGGTACAAACTCTTGTCGATGTTGGAAGATTGTGACTTTATAAAATGACCCTTCCTGACTCTGACTTTGGATTTGTCCATATATCGAGGTAGGCGTCTTATTCATAGGGAGAGGGTATCTCTTAGCATCAGTCTGTCCTAGATACATGGTGGTTATTTCGAGTGCTGAATTTATTATTCGCATCATACTGGTGACATATTGCTATATAAGGAGCACATCAGCTGCACCCTTCTTATTGCGCACCAACACGCTTCAGGTATGCATCCCATCCCTCCTTCTGGTACCGCTGCGCCGCCTCCACGGGATCAGGGGCAGCATAAATTCCTCGGCCAGCAATGATAAAGTCGGCACCGCGTCCAACAGCCGACTCAGGAGTCTGGTACTGTTGTCCCAGCTTGTCTCCCTTCGAGGAGAGGTTGACACCGGTCGTGAAGACGACGAAATCCTCATCCTCCGAAGGCGAGCTAACTTCAGACTGAACCTCGCCCAGGTGACGCGTCGAGACGAATCCCATGACAAACTTCTTATACTTCCGGGCGTAGTCAACAGAAGAAGTAGTGTATTGGCCGGTAGCCAAAGATCCCTTGGAGGTCATCTCCGCAAGGATCAAAAGGCCCCGCTCGGAACCGTAGGGGAAGTCCTCGGCGGACGCAGTCTGGGCCAGAGCCTCGACGATACCCTCACCGGGCAGAACACTGCAGTTGATGATGTGGGCCCACTCAGAGATGCGCAGAGTGCCACCATGGTACTGCTTCTGGACTGTGTTGCCGATGTCGATGAACTTGCGATCTTCGAAGATGAGGAAGTTGTGCTTCTCCGCAAGGGCCTTCAGACCGGTGGTGGTTTCTTCGCTGAAATCGGAAAGGATATCGATGTGAGTCTTGATCACGGCAATGTACGGGCCGAGTCCTGTTATACATTCCACCATTAACCATTACTAGATCATATGTAAGTGGCATCCCCGGTGCGCATACGGTCAGCCAAATCCAGCAGCTCTTTGGTGGTGGTCACGTCGGCCGAAACGGTGACATTGCTTTTCTTGGCCTCGGCAACCTCGAAGAGCTTCTTGACGAGGGCATTGGGATGTGTGCTAGCGCGTGCGCTGTAGGTCAATTGCGACTTGGAAGACATGCTGGCGATGGAGGGGTAGCGCGGGGTTCTGCAGCTACTGTATAAATGAGCACTTTGGGGAACTGGCGTATTCAGTAGATTAGTACTTCAAATTTTCAGTGAGTAGATGAAATAATCAGGGCTTCTAATGACTAACTCAAATTGTGGAATGAACGGTGAATACAAGCTGTACAATAATCACCGCGAAAAATTAAAATGGATCTACTCCATATGGAGGGGAGCCATGCACTAGCCACACATTCCTCCGCCTGTGGGGTGAGCCACATGCCTCATCTGGGCCAAACACATCAACGCAGTCACATGCAGATAAGATTAGGGCCTATCCTTAGGGTATGTATAGTAACCGTCCGCGCGGGGATCACTCAAGGCAAGATATAGTCGTAGATTCCCATACTAATTCAAAATACCATCATAAACTGGCCTAACTAGGAATCTGCTACATTTTAAACTACCCGAAACCTCATCATCTATCATATAGCAGCTCTCTGCGATATTCGCATCTATATGACGTGCCACTCATCTATAACAAGACAGTTGATTCTTCGTGGGAGATTGGTGGCCATGCCTGGCTTTTTATGGTTGCTTTTTATATCCTTCTAGGGACTTAGCAATAAGCCCAACTCTATCAGCCATAATAATGTCAATACCGGCAGCGGCTTGGGCCTGGAATGTTGCATCAGCTATTAAGCAATTTTCATATCGCAACTTGAAAGCACTGAAAATTAGTATGGATACACTTACATTGGCATTTTCTGGTGTATTGTTCTGAGATCCATAGGTTCCACAGATTAATCCTGATCGTTGAACATATCTGATAAGCCTAGGACACATTACCAGCGCCTCGGACGCAAAGACAAGACCAGATAAGTTCCACCTCTTGGCAAATCGAACAGCGGACTGTATGCTGGAGGCCCTCATTTCTCGATCCGTAACTGGAGGCTTGCCGGCATTAGTGATGAACATTACAGGGTACATCCGTTGTTTGATGGCCAATAACATGCATATCTCGGGGGTAAATGAGGATAGTATAATGGTCCGTTTTTTGTTGCCGTAAGAAAAGAGTTTCTCAAGCGCTTTGTCGATGAAGGTGTTGATTTCAATAGCCACGGGTGCTACACCTGCATCTATCGCTTCATGAAGCCTAGGGTACTCTTCGTTGAGACGCTATTAGCCCTGTCTCACGAGTCGAGAGCCATCAGTGGCAGCATTTAACATACTTATCTCGATATTGAAGCCAATTGACTCAGGCAGTTCTTCAAGCAGTTCCCCCAGTGTCGTAAAAGAATCTTGGATAAAGTCACCTCTGGTATTAGGCTTGAATCCCTTGTTGACAAAGTCTACTGTATACTTCATTCTATCGCGAATTTCCCTAGTTCCGCTCTCGTGGCCTTTAGTTAATGATCGAGATCGTCGCTTAGCCGAGATATTCTGGGTGGAAATAGGTTGTGCATTCGCTTCTCCAAGTACAGATACTGGAACTCCTCGTGGCGACTGGATATTGCTTGCGTGCATGAACTTTGAAAGATGAGAATCAGTTTGAATTAAGCCCAGGGACACTGACCTGATCAAGACTTAAGTCATGAATAGGGATATCGGTTCCTGACTCGCTCAGAGAAAAGTCATGGTATATGACAGGCACGAGATCTCTTGTTAATTGCACATCTGAGTAGACTTCAGTACACACGCAAGGTACGATTTGTGAGATGTTGTATTACCAAACTACCATAGTTGTTAGTCTCGTTCGCTTCACATTTTAGCCAAATCATTCTTACCTCAACAAATGTGGCGCCTTGCTTTGAGGCCGAAAGAAATGACTAGATCCCATGTCAGGTATGTAAGGGTTTGGTTTCAATGGTTCTAAAAGTGGTACGTACTTCTATAGTATTTTCTCCTATCTGGAGATAGCTGCGGCTGGCTGTGTTTTGTCCAAGGCCTGACTACACGTTACTAGTCCATTATAGAGGAGGATGAAGTATTAACATAGTACATACCTCTATGACCAACTAGCTGTACCCCTTCTTCAGTGACGGGAGGGCTGACCAAAGGACCCGCACGGTGGGATATTGGTTTAGAGAGGACGAAAGTAAAAGTGACCTTCCCCAGAACATCAAGTGTATCTTTCTCAAGTATAGGAACGGTACGTTCTCTGATAAGGCTTTCACGGTTTTCCCCAAAATGATCGCTGGGGTTTCCTATCAAAGCCGTACCACCCCCCACAAGGCTACGTTCCTTTGGAAGTGTAGAGTTAGCGTGGAGTAACTTGAAGGATATCCAGGCTCTGTCTGGATCTGTAACTGGAAAAACAAAAGGTTCGTTGGTCATATCAGTCAGTAAAGGCAATTCTACAAGCTGGCTTATGCTTTGCCTCTCTGAGATTGAAATTTCCATCAAGAAACCAGCATTCATAAAGATGAGCTCCTTCGGAGAGCGATCCCTGAGTTCAACAGCCTTTACCTGTTTCCCGCTTTGTAGGACACCCAAATTAATGATCAGGTGGTGACAATCAGTCCTAAGTGACATAGTGTTTTGAAAAATTGGCTGTTTAAGTATGCTAGCAGGTCCGCCGAGAGGGTCCTCAGTACCCAATGAAGTGAGCATCCCAGCTAAAGTGAGATGGCCTCTTACTGCGGCATGCTCTTTAGCAGTCCAACCGGAATAATCATGAATATCCTGTTTTGCTGTCGCATTCAAGAGAAGTTTGGCCACGGCGTGTTGACCCTCCACGCATGCAATGAATAAAGGAGTCCAGCCATGAACAGTCTCTGGGATATCAAGATCTCGGCACCTACCATGCTCAAGTAGTATGTCCACATATCCTTCATTTCCACTGCGAGCTGCAACATAAAGAGCTGTCTCTCCATGGCTAGCTTTTCCATGAGAATATAGGGGAAACTTGGCAAACAGGAGGACTATGTCATCATATTGATATTTGACTGCAATGACAAGAAGATCATTTAGAATATTGATCAAATCGTAGTTCTTTGCTTCGCCATGTGTTTGCTGCATTTGTTCGAGGGCTTTCAAAAAAGCTTTTGTGACCAGTGCATGGTTGTTGATCACTGCGTAGTGCAGTGGCGTATATTGTTGAGAGTCCAACGACATGATGAGGCGTGCGGGATACTCCTGACCCGACTTTCGAGACAAATCCAATATTAATTCACAGATACCTGGCAAACCATACATTGAAGCGTAATGGAGTGGAAGACGCCCAAAAGCATCTTTTTCCAATAAGATGCCCTTTCCGCTGAGCGCGATTTGTTCAACGGCCAAGGAGAACAAGTTACTCTCTGGCTTACCACAATAGTATTTAGAACTGCACTGAGAACACACCCTCGATGCAGTGTGTTCTTCAAAAGTTTGTTGCCGACCAAAAATTACAATCATTTCGTTCAATATCCTGTGGTCTAGCGTAATGTGATATCGGGGAAATGCTTCTGAGAGTAGAAAGGTAGCAGCCCGCTTAGAACGACAGACCACTGAGCGCCCTGTTAAATCACGGAGGATTTCCTGGAAGCACGGTCTCGTTGTGGTGTTACATGTGTACGTCTCTTCCAGCAACTTGGATAATTCTGGGCCATCATCATCTACCACAGCGCGATTCAAAGCTCTGATAGGGTCACTGGAAGGAGAGGGATGGCTGGAGCCATCGTCCAAACAGGATTTGGTGTTTGAATGGAGCTTCATATCAAAGCGGATTCGGATGAAGCTTTCCATCAGTTTGTTCAGGATTTCAGTATGTTTCAGCCATGATGCATCCTGATCAGCCTCCAACTTAATCCACTCCACTTTATGGGCTCCATGAGTCTGTCCGGTCGAGCTGCGAAGCTCCTCGAGCTTGGCATACACCCTCCGGACTGCTTCTTTGTTGACCCGATAAAACCATTGCAACTTTTCTGAATCCTTACGAAGCTCTAGCACTGCTTTGAGGATGTTTTCTAGCTCGTAGCAGCTTGAGTCTCCTATTGATATCAAGGCGTCTGCCGTAGGTACCGATCTTTGGAGAAGCTCGTCACCCCTTTGCGTCAGGAGGTCATAGTTCTCGCGATGAAACTGGCTGAAGGAATGGATGCTACACTTAAGACAGCTATATATGTCTTCAACGAATGTTAACAATGTTCCTAGGGTACAGATGATAGTAACGGACCTGTGAAATCCGGTTGCGTTTCTGTAGAGTAGACTGTTCTGATAGCCGTCTTTAATTGCCTTTTCAGTAAGGGATAAGGCACATAATGTGGCGCCCACTCCGGCACCTGGTATTGATGGTAATTTAGCCCGAATCGCATTATCACTTGGGGTACAGTAGACCACTAGGCAATATGGAGATGCAGTTAACGAAAATGAAATTACATGTGAACCATCACCATCTCGGTAACTCAATAAAATCACATGCGTTACTGTGGGCCGCAAGAGCTTTAAAGAAAGGAGTAAAGTAGCTCAGGAAGTGGATTGCTTTAGTAGCGGCGGTGGCGTTTATATATTAAGAAATCGACTGGGGTACCCCTGTCCTTTGCCGGATTGGATAACTTGATCTCCTGCGAATTCCTGTCATGTTTAGATCGGAACCACAGCGCTAACTGGATCCAATACTTGGGAAGTAGCGGATGGTTGACAATCAAATTTACTGCTGAATTTCTTGAGAGCTACCTCGAGGCTCTCTTAGCAAGCCCTAAGACATTTAACTCCGCGGTGGCTCAGATGACAGGGGCATAGGAAGAATACTAGGTGATTTAGATGAAACTAGGATATGCCAAATGCCACTAAGGTTAAAGATGTAACATGAACTAGACAATTTGGTAGAGTCAGGAATCCATAAGAGAACTAGATTATATATCGCAAGGATTATTTTCAGAGTTGCGATGAATATAACGTCGACAGATTATCAACGTATGGATATACAATGGCAAATTGCGATACCTATTTTACAAAAGGGTGAACAAGTACAAAATTGTCCAAAGCCGCGATGAATCCGTCAATTGGAAGTAGTTTGACTTCAGAGAGAGATTAGATCCCTTCCAACGCCGAATACACTCAGCCCCCACAGAGCACCCTGCACCAACCAGAAAAATCCTCCAAGGAACCTTCCCTTACCCTGCGACTTGCCCGAGTACACGTAGCCGTACAAGAAGAGCGAGCGAGCCACGAGCCAGGCGGCGCCAAGAGCCGTAGCCAGCTGGGGGTATTTCAGACCTGCAACGAGAGTAAAGAGCATGGTCTGGGGAGCATTTTCGAGGAAGTTGGCGTGTGCGCGCTGAGCGCAATTGAATTGTTCGGCTTTAGCCTGTCGGGCCATTTTCTGTTAGCTCATATCGCGGTTGCTTATGTCTGCGACACTTTATTCTGAAGTCGTGGTAAGTGGGACGGTGAGGGGACAGTGGAGGTCTCACATTCGACTTGCACTGTTCAATAGTCGCATAGGTGTGAGGGTAGGGGACCTTGGCTTCCTTGCGAATGCCTGTCACCACAAATCCATGGATAAAGCTGAGCACAGGGATGGCTCCAAGCGCGACGCCGATGACGGCACTGAAAGCTCACAGTTAGTCAAAGGTGGTCTTGGTGCCATCTGGAGGGGGATAAATGTACCCGTAGTTGTCGGGGACGGTTATCGCAACCATTATGAAGAGTAAACTAAATATTACAGACTGTGGATTGATCTTTTGGTTGCTTCTTGTAATGCCGTGGGATCTAGAAGCTTAAATACTCTCGATTTCTTGACGTCAGGAACTCGGAAAAGTTGAGTCCCATCCGGAGTCCCGAAGAACCGACACCCGTATTTCACATTGCTCACTAATCATCGTAGGCTGTAAGTTAGTTAGTTGCAACACGAAGTGATTTACAACATGGGCCTCTCAGTTGCAGATTGACAACCAATTAAAGTATATTACGAGCGAAGACATCCATATGAGATACGTGTACTTTCCCGTCACACTCTACCGAGGGACTCTGGGAACAGTTCGATAACTATTCTGCCTATTTGAGAAACGGTGGCCGACTGAACATCCCATCTATCATTGTTATACTTATGTACTCTAAGATAAAATCATCCCTGGGTCATTTTGCTGACGCTGCCATACTTCGCCTGCCAAGCAAAGAAATACAGCAGTGCCCCCAACGGCTGTCCAACCACGCAAAAGCTAACCCAAAATATTGAGTTCCCAAGCACTCTCCCCGAGGGATCTTTCATCTTTTCTAATGGGGCAGTGACGGCGATCAGCGGCAGCTGGAACAACATTCCTACGAGGGCGACGCCTTGTTATCGGTTAGCTTGGAACAAACATTCACAGGGTATGCGCGATTCTCAGTACCTATCATATTATGCGTAGGGATCCCCACAAGCAGCTCGTGCAAAAGAGCCGAAACTAGAAAGACAACAGTGCTTGCCGTCAAAGGACTGTATCCCCGCCCAATGAGAGGCGAATACACATGCCTCTTCATGAAGAGATAGACAGGCCTGTTCCAAGATCGCCAGTACATTCCAAGACTGGAGCTGTTCCACCAGTCGAGATAGAACTCTCGGTCTCCAAACCGCAGCACTTCAGCCAAGGCATTCAAGAATGACTGGAAAAGAGCGAAAAACCCAGCGAGCCAAATAATAAGGGAGATGGTAGATAGCTTCATCACGCGCTCAAAAATGGAAGTAATGTCCATGACAGCGATCTTGTCAATGGAATTTCGCAGGACGGGAGCAGCGTACTGGGCCGAGAGAAGCCAGATGAATATAGACAAGCTTATAAACTCGAACATGCGCTTGCCCACAAACGACCATCGGATTGCGGGTGACCTGGGATAAACCGGTTGGTAAACCAGCGTAGGTGCCAACCAAAAGTACACCAAGTTCCCAAGCGTGATATTCCGTGGATAAGGGCATGAAGAGTAGATCTCCGGAAGGGCGGACTCGGCGGATGGATTAAGCATCGCCTCGCGGAGATCGCGATTGGTGAACGCATAGGACCAATTTTTGAGCGCTACAATGATGGCATGAACTTCGCAGAGCGTCCCGATCCCTGGATGATGGATGTAATAATAAACGACATAGCTCGTCACCGCCAGATTCAGCAAGGTATTGAGGATATGAAATGATAGGGCGAACCGCCAAATCGTCCGGAATTCGCGTTGTTCACGTTCACCCTCCTCCGCTGATTTGTCTTTCTTCTTTCGGCCAACAGTTTCTTTCACCCGCCCTGCTACAGCCAATTCGAGTATGTATGCGATAAACAGCTGACAAGGAACCATGACAAAGAGCATTGAGCCAAGGACGACATCTTGTTTCCGGTAGTCATGGCATCTAATGCAGATGAGGACACCATACTATGTGATAAAACGTTCAGCTCTGTTTACAACAGATACTTCGTTCTACGGTAACACTTACTTTCATAGAATTCTCAATAATCAATCGGAGATTCATCGCCACTAACAAGGGGGATTATCAGCTTCAAATCATCGAGTTACCTTAAAGAAAAACATCATACCCAGGACAATCACCATCAGGTTTCGAAACCCGAGGAAGCTAGTCGGAACATTGGATTCTCGACTTAAGCTTGAGTGTTGCAACTTCGAGTGGTAGGCTGCCACATGCCGATACTTGCTCCTCCTTTTCCCTTTGGGTACTTCGCTAGCCTCACCCGTAGGAGGCGAAGTTTCGGTGTGAGAAGAACCGTTCATGACTTTAGAAGATAAGGACGAAGCCGCGCCCCGGATATTAACATCGCTGCTTGTCGCAGATGCCTTATCTGTAACGGCCATCTTCATATGATCTCGGAGAAATCCGGCAGTAGTCCACAATGAGCACACAATGACCTAAGCCAAAAATAAAAAATAAAACCACGGAAGGGTTGTGTAAAGCCGCGTGGAAGCGACAAGGGTTGAATGTGAGGTCAATTGCGGGGATAGCTTAGAATACAGGATAACAATCCCAGCGGCCGGGCCAGAGAAGAGTTGATCATGACAGGGCAATTGAGGGTATTTATAGCAGGAGAACAATGAGACAAGCCAGGAGCAACGCAGCGGGGCTGGCAAGGACGCATTGCAACGGTGTTTTAAAGCAAAGGCCTCTGAGGCGACCGGGGGTTGAGAGAGCCGTTTGGTGCTAACATGACTTGCTCTGCCGCTTAGTGTCCCGCGGCCAATGATCATCACCGCCGCGCGCTCGGCCCAAAGTCAAGTTGCTTTTGCTCCCATTCAAATCATCGACCACGTTCACGACGAGAATCCATCCACTCTACCAGCCGCATGCACGCTATGGAAAGACCGTTCTAGCTGAAAACCCTGTAACCTCATTTGAGGGGTTGTTGTTTGTCATTCGCTGCGCTCCGCTTACCTTTCACCCGGTCAATGGTCGCAAACTTCCGTGAGCTTCTTTTCCTTTACACCCGAAAATAGCTTGCTTGTGATGGCATTTTATGACGAATCTGGGGCCGACTCCCAGCCATTTGGAAGATCTCAAAAACCCTACGAGGGTGGAATTGTCGGTCCACGGCGACCACGTACGTTTATTTCATTGCTTTGAATTTTGTTCCCCCCCAGTATACCCGTCTCTTTTCTTTTCCCGTTCGTTCATGTTGCTCCATCGTTCAACCACTGTGGAAAGCTAACGGCCTCCAACTCGATAGGGCTTGTCACCGATTATGGATCGTCACTCGTACAATGGATGCGCACACGCGCCCGAGATACAAAGGCGGCCACCGGATGGAGACAGAAAGGCCAAGTGCAAGCTACATAGTTGATGTAAACAGCAGCGCCCTGCTTTAAAGACGTCGACTAACCCACTTCCCTCTTTGCAGATGCTGCCTCCGTTAGCACGAATCCATTCCCCTGTGGATACCATCCCCGTACGGCACCTACACCAATCCATTGGAAAGTCAAAGAAGCCGATCACAGTCGTAAGATGGACTCCGGAAGGGAGGCGTTTATTGACGGGTGGGCACACTGGAGAGTTTATGCTATGGAACGGAACAGCATTCAACTTCGAGACTGTGATGGACGTATGGTTTTACCTCCCTATTTTTCTCATCTATACCAGTCTGCGATTTGCCTGGATCGTTTCTGACCACCAAGTTAGGCACATTACGACCAACTGCAAGCTGGAGTCACTTCGTTGGCATGGTCCCACAGCCATGACTGGTTAATTTCGGGCGGACAAAAAGGTGATATAAAATACTGGCGGCCTAATTTTAACAATGTCGAGACCATTGATGACGCGCATCATGATGCGGTTCGAGATCTTGCGTGGTCTCCCAGCGATACAAAATTTCTCTCCGCTTCTGACGATACGACCCTGAAGATCTTTGATTTCACCTCAAGAACCGCCGATACCGTCCTTACCGGTCACAACTGGGACGTCAAATCATGTGATTGGCACCCTACGAAAGGACTACTCGTCTCTGGTTCGAAGGATCACCAAGTCAAGTTCTGGGATCCCCGCACGGCAAGATGCTTGACAACACTCCATAGCCACAAGAACACAGTAACCGCCACGAGGTTTTCACGTGTGAATCAAAATCTTCTCGCAACATCGTCTCGCGACCAGACAGCCAGGGTTTTCGATCTACGTATGATGCGGGACATTTGCATTCTTCGTGGACACGAGAAGCCTGTTTCTTCTCTAACATGGCACCCCATTCATAGCTCACTCATCTCGACGGGTAGCGAAGATGGTTCGCTGTACCATTACCTCCTCGACGAGCCAAACGTGCCCTCTGGACAGGTTCCTACAATAGCGCCCTACGACAGTCCGGATCCTGCGAACACACCTGCGCAAGTCATCTACCCTGCCCACCGGGTCCAGTACGCACATGGCGCTACTATTTGGTCACTGGATTGGCATCCACTAGGCCATATACTTGCGTCCGGCTCGAAAGACAACTTCACACGGTTTTGGTCTCGAGCAAGACCGGGAGAGACTAGCTACATGAAAGACAGGTTCCACATAGGGGAGGAGGCCGCTGAGGCCCAGGGAACTTGGAGTAGAGGTTTCGGAAGGCGGCAAATGCGCGAGGAGGAAGAACAGGAATTACAGGATGAAGCCGAGAGCCTCGTTGATCAGAGGAAGCCGACTGGATCTGTTCTTCCTGGAATACAGATCGCACCTCCTGGCGGAACGCCTCACGACGGGCTAGGCTCGCAACTACTACCAGGTATCGGCGCTCCCCAACCGCCACCAGCACCATCAGCCGGTATACCTTCATCTATGCCTCAGATGGATCCCAACCGCCTAGCCGCTCTGTTGTCTACTCAAGCCCCCCTCAACCCAATAATATTCCTCCGAACACGGGATTGCCTGGGTTTCCCATGCTTCCTGCCCTCTCCGGAACACCACCCGCCAATGTTGACTTTGCAGAGCTTCAAAAGCAGCTCATGTCACAGGGCATACCACTACCACAGAATTTCGCTCCCCAACACTTTTCTCCCTTACCGGGTACCGGAGGCCTCCCTGGTTTGCAGGGTAGTAATACGCCCGACAATCATTATGGAAGATGACATGCATGTTTTGAGTTGGCCTAGGGGCGATTGGCGCAATGGCAGATAGCTTGTTTGGGTTTTCTGATAGCATCGGCATATGTTTGAAGAGTATCACATAATTCCTCCGGCTGTATTATAAATCGGTGTTTGAAGGACTTCCCGATTCGTTCGATAGAGTAAAGATCGCATGCACACCGCATCGCGTTCGTCGTGTATGATTGCCATTATTCGAGGCATGTTTCAAATCTCAAGCCCATGAAGGGCGCATTGTGCGAAACCATATGTCTCTTCTCCGTATGGATTACAGTCCACCTTGCATTGGAAAGCTCGATAAAATAAGGACCAACATGTTGATGCCACCCCATATCATGGGAATCCACGTCGACATCCTAAAATTACCCGCCTCGTAAACGGATCCCAGACTGCTTCCCGTATTAGCTTCATAGTTCGGATATAATTCTCGGAGCCCCATGTATACTTACACCAAGCCGATAATACTCCCAGCTAGAAGCGCCTCCAATCCTGCTATAATACCGTACACTAGTGGAATTGCAATACAAATCCGCCAGCTCCGGCCCTGCATCGCAAGGGCCCAAGTGGCCACCGACAAATGGCTCGCCAGGTAGAATATCAGGGTCCAGTAGAGCGTGAACCGCCAAATGTCCCGGGTATAGTATAAGTAGTAGACGGCAGCATTTGGTCGCGGAAAGGGATCATAGAGCGATGGAAACGCCGGTGTCTGGTAGTTGATCGGGACACGATTGTCGGTCATTTGTCCTGACAAAGGCTCGTCGCCTTGTCAACAGGGGCAGCCTCACGAGAGAAAGTGAACTACCATGGTACCTAGCGTAGTGGGGACAAGCTAAGCTTAGTGGTATTACGGAGGTAAAATAATGTAGCCGTTGTGATCACGGGAGTCATGTTCCTTATTCTGCGTAGGTTATAGTTCGGAGCTATGGCCGGTTTGCATTGTTTGCCTCCTTGCTTCCAACCTCGGCAGGTGATCCGGGGTCCTCCGCGGTAACTGATAGCGCTGGAGACCTATCGTCTACTCCAATTGCCGAATACGACGGCCTTTGGCAAGTGTTATTGCATTTTGTTCCTTGCGTGTTTCTATCCCCAAGTCGAGCATTTCTGTTATCTAAGATGGCCACAGCGCGCTCTTTGGGCGCTCTCTTACGGTCGCTCCAATCTCCATCAGAACTTCAAGATGCATCTGCGTATGATCCCACCTGCTCTATCGGCCGATCAAAGGCCTCAACTGACGGTTCTTCTTCAGCCTGCTCCCTACGGCCACCGGCCTCTTATCTGTGCTCGGAAACCCTCTGAATATTAGCTTGCTTGCATCACAACTGCTTGTAGCCCCTTCGATATGGGATCATGCAGTCGATCTCCAAGCCTGCCGGAAGATACTCAGTGTATTCAACACAGCCGCCATGGCCATCATCCGAAACGAAGAATCCGATGACCCAAGGATACCATACACTAAGCCTGTGAAGATAGAGCGAGAAGCATGGGTCAAAGCTGTTGTCAGTGGAGCGGACGAGAAGTCTCCACGTTGGAGACATATGCTCCTAATTGGAGGAGTCCTTCTAGGTTTTGAAGCACAGGATAGACAAGGCTTGCCTCTCAGTGTCCGTAAAAAGCTTGAGTCGGCTCTTGTAACTGCTGCGCAGCTTGCTATTGAAGAGTTAGATCCCCACAACAAGATCGATGGTCTTTGCATCACCATGGTTTTGAACTATACGTTTCCACTTTTGTCCGACTTGGAGAGGAACAACCTTAACTATGACCGACTATTGCCGGTAATGATAGATGCGACATTTTCATCGCCGGAGGGTCTCGAGGGGGGGTACTTTCTAGGGACAATTGATAAAGATATTGTTGAGGCTCCAGGGAAGCGCTTCCAATGGTCTTCACAATCTGATACTTTCATGCGGGTGGCAGCAATTTCCTCCAGTCCTCTCATCTCGGCGCTAGGACCACTGTCCCGTCTGATTGCACATGCAATCGAAAATGCGCATGACCCGGGACTCATTGCGCGGTCAGTTGATCACATTGCGGACTTTGTCCGCACACTAATGATCCAATGGCGGCAGAACAAGCTATCCGAAGTTGACAAAGCTGAGGAAGCGGAATTCTTGGATGCGGAATCATTGAAGACAACCATCCCAGGCTTATGGAAACTACTTCGCAACAGCTTGTATTCGATCGTGATTGTCCTTCGAGCCGTTCTTGGCAGAGTCATCAACGATAGTATCTTGGCTGCGAACAGAAGTCAGTGTCATGCAAGTTATATACCGATGTCTCCTTCAGCTAACCATGCCTCAGGTGCACCTTTCATATCGATGCAGGCGCTTCATATACTCCGCAATCTGTATTTCATTACGTCACGTATTGGACAAAACACCTCGTCTCAGCATATGTTTGTGACTTTGACAGCAGCAGATATTCTCGCGCAATATCCAGATTTAAGTGAGAACTTCTTAAGAAGCATCAAGCCGAATGAAATCGGCCAGATTCCTGCCCATCCCCTTGAGAGATGCCTCGACCTGTACTTTTTGAATACGTCAGAACTTTTCACTCCCGTCTTATCTTCGAAATTCAGCGATGTTCTCGTTTGCGCCGCAGTTCCCTACTTGCCCGCTGGGGGAGATAATAATCTTCTCGAAATCTTTGAGGCTGCACATAGCGTGGTGCTCGCGGTATTCGCTATTCCAGGGAACGCACAGGTAGCAGCCAAACATCTTCCATTCTACATTGACAATCTTTTTGCTGTAAGCTAGGCCCAAACTTTGTAAAAGTTCGAGTGCTGACCAAAATTTCCAGGTATTCCCTGACAACCTGTCCATCCGCCAGTTCCGCCTCGCTTTTAGAACTGTTCTCCAAGTCACTGCTCCTCCGTCGCCAATCGCAAACACGCAACGCCACCTGCCATCTGTTCTGCTTGAAGTTCTTCACGACCGGGCACTGCACGCCTCGAACAAGGTTCTACCACAACCTGCCGACTATGGTGCTGGATCAGAAACTAGCAAGACGCCACCGCTCTCGGAGCAAGCTGCTCTCACACTTTCTCTAATTGATGGCCTGAGCTTCCTTCGGGTGGAAGACTTAGAAGAATGGCTGCCTTTGACGGCCCAACTGATCAATACCATTCGTGAGACTGAGATGCGGACCGCCTGTATTGAACGATTCTGGGAGGCCTTGAGCAGTGGCGAGATGGACGTCGAGCGGGCATGTTACTGCGTAGCCTGGTGGAGCACTAAAGGTGGGCGTGAGCTCGTCCTCTTTGGGAATGATCCCGGTGCTGCCGAATCGGACCCCCAGGGTCCTTACATGAGCGGTGCAGTTGGAGGAGTCGCACCGGAAAGAGAGAGTAAACTTTAAAGTTCTTCGATGGTTTGTACATATTATGGGGATTTGCTCCAGATCTAGTCGTTGAAGCGCATGGCGTTCGGTGTAGCATTTGATACCATCGCAATTTTATACAGCTGCCTCTAAGGCAGATACCATCTCTACACAGTCTTATAGACATAGAGCATCCAACCCAGTACCTCAAGCACGATCCTAATCAATGAATGCCTGGGATTCCTACCCACGACCTCTTCTTGTACTCAACATAATCATCTCCAAAAAAGGCGATCAAGAACTTCTCTTCCCCTAAGCACAAAATCCAAATCAGCACTAAAGCAACACGCATGCGAGCAAAGAAGGGAGCGAGGGAGGGAGACAAAGCTTACGAAAGATCCGACTAGAAAAGAACCTCCACAGCACCAAGGTATATCCCATGAAACAAACCACATTCCCCAGTACCAATTGCGTTCCTAATCCCCACCAAAAGAACCCAAAGTAGCTGGGATGACGCAGAACGGAATAGATGCCATGTGTCACGAGTCTATGGTCCTCCTTCCGCTCGACTTGCACCGTATGATTGAAATTACTTCCCGCTTGCACCATCGCCAACGTGCGAACGACCTGGCCAATAATCATCAGGACGAGGCCCAGCGCAACCTGAATCTTGAGGCCGGGTGCGATAGCTCCCCAGTTCAGGTAACCGGCGGTCGGCCAGAAGTGTTGGGCTAGGAGACATTCCAGCGCGGCGGAGATGTGTGCGACATTGTATGCCCAGCCATTAGAGGAGAGGAGGAAGGCGGAAATGTTGGCGTAGCGGGTGTTGTAGGCGGCTGTCACATAGTATTCGAGGAAGTGGAAGAGGGCGAGGGAGGCGAGGAAGAATGGGATACGCCAGAGGGGGGTTTCGAGGAAGCGGAGGACAATGGTCAGGGAGCTGGAGAGGCCGAGGGTGGTGCCGAGTAGAAATGCCCGTAGTGAGATTCCGGCGAGAGATTTTTTGCCGTTGGGGTAGTTGGAGGAGTCGAGGGGGGGAGGTGGTTTGGATGTTGAGGTAGACATCGTTGCTGCTGGTCGGGAGGAGGTCCGGTCGATGGAGAAGGAGTTGGAGTTGGAGTTGGGTATTATAGGGTCCAGGGGGGTGGCGGAGGATGAGGGGACTGTATTTTGGGCCATTGTTTTGTCTAACATGAAGTTTGACCGTGCTTTAGAGTTCCGCAAAAGAGGTGGTTGTGAAAGGAGACGCGGGTGGTTGATTGGCGTCGTATTGGAGAGAGAGGAGAGAGAGATAGCTCAGGGATTTAATGCGGCATGATTGAATAGAATGCAAACAATGAACTTGAGCTATTGGAACACCTCATGAAGAGAATGTTGAAACGAGAGAATGCAGACAAGAACAATCTGTCGGACGAAGAACAATATGAATACTATTCAACTCTCGCCATAAATTAGTTTGTCTGGTTGGTCTTCCCGCTGTCAGACAAAGAAAAAGCCCATTCCCCGCCATTCATTTAGTGAATGGTGGGATGAACACCTTAATCAACCAAAGTATCTTCTCAACATCTACTGAAGTCAGTTCATGTGTTTGAAAATGGACTCCGAAGAAGCCCGATTAGCCAACCGGGAGAAGATGCGACAAGGGGAGCTCTACTACGCCTTTACGCGAGATTTAATTGCTGCTCGATCTCGTTGTACCAAAGCTTGCCGCCGCTTCAATCACGCCGAGGATGTCTCTCGTCGACGTCTTGTAGAGCTTTGGAGAGAGTGAGTACACACAAGGGACCCTTGCATACGCAATCCATACTTAATCTCCCCATCTTGTGTTCCATATTAAGATATACGTCTTTATACTCTCATCCTTGCGACAGCCGACCCATCGACCCAAAAGCCAGAAAGTTGCGCTACCACACGGAATACTAACTGTGGTTCAGCCTTGTCCAGGACAAAACTCCTCTGCCACTCCCCAAGGACGATCCAGAGGAAGATGAAGCTCTATTCGAGAATGAACCGTGGATAGAGGCTCCCATCCGAATGGACTATGGGTTTAATGTGAAGGTGGGTGAAGGCGTCTTTATCAATGCCAACTGCCACATTATCGACACCTGTCTGGTGACGATCGGGGCACGGACCATGTTCGGTCCCAATGTGCACCTGTACAGCGGAACTCATCCTTTGGACCCTGCCCTACGCAATGGAACCAAAGGCCCCGAAATGGGAAAAGAGATCCATATCGGGGAGGATTGTTGGTTGGCCGGGAATGTTACTGTTCTCCCGGGGGTGACAATCGGGAAGGGTGCAACTATTGGAGCCGGCAGCGTGGTCACGAAGGTACGGATATATTTCCCTCTCTATCACCGCCCTCCTTTGAACTCTGTGGAGACTTACGGTGCGCAAATCGCATAGGATGTCCCGGCTTTCCATTTGGCTGTGGGCAATCCGGCAAGGGTCATTCGAAAGATTGAGACTGCGATGGAAGAGGAATCGTCAAGTTAGGCCCTTTGTTACCACCATACCCGGTTTAAATACTTTTTAGATGGTTACACCGATAGATCGTTGTGCTCTATTCTAAACGAGGGTCCTCATTGTATCGAACTCTGAGTCTATTCTTGGAGTTCAACACATGCCGTAGCTACCCTTCAAGGTAGTACATACATTCATTCATTGCATTACGGAATGGAATAATGCATATGTCTCTTAAGGTCGACATAGCAACAAGACAAAGGGGATAAACTAACTAGTTAGTTACGAAGTATATTAGTTAGTAATCTAGACCAACGGGGCCCACCTATCAACAATTATCAATGTGCACCGAGTTGTGCACGGAAGCTAGAGTGTGGAATGTTCCTGTGGATCTTCGTTCGGGAGCTTTTTAAGGTTGGGAAATTTACAGGGTAACATACTAAAAGTAGTACTAAACAAAGACTATTGATTAGCGGAACGATGTCATACTTGTCAAATGCGGGCGAACTGGTTTGTATCCACCGGTCAAATTGAATCATTTATTGCACTGATGCAAGGTACAGCTGAGACCCTTCGTACCTTGTATACTACGAGTCATTAGTACTGACTTGCTCTGCTGGCTGAGCATCTGGAGAATGAATTAAAGTAAGGGGCTTAAATATCAAGTTACAACAACAAGAAAAAAAAGTTAGGAATTATCGAAGATATTCAGACGCGAAGGTTTATTCGACTCATGTTCTCATGCTCATGCTCAGTGCGCCCTTGATTATGGTTTCTGAGAACCTTCGTGTTAGTAGAATAGCTTAGGGCCGATATTTTAAATGATGTCATACTCAATATTGGTAAATCAGTTGAATTTATTCTCAACTGTATGTACCTCTCTTTCTCATATCAGGTGGGATCACACATTACTAGTACTGTACCGTACGCAGATATGTAGTGGTACACACAGGCAAAAGTTCCTAGGGTTTCATGAAACAATAATGTTTGTTTCTTGTACGGAGTACATATTTCTTTCAAAGAAAAGAATAAATGAAATGAATGGACAATCTTCAAAGGAAGTATTTTCTTTTCCCCTGTCTTTCCCTTTTCCTTTTAT